CGCGTGGGCTGGGCAGTCATTCCGATGCATGAGGTCGTACCCCGGTCACTTCACTCTGTGATGAAGCGGCTGGCGAAGGCCCCGGAGTCGGCCAGGCGGCAGGCGTCGCTGCGGCCAAAGATGTTGTAGCGGTTGCTGGCCACCTGTGAAGGGCGCCAGGGGGCGTGGCAGGAATATACTGAGGGTCTCAGTGGCATGGCGCGGGGACCGCACAGGGACGGGCTTTGTCAATGGGACTGGCGTAACAGTCGACCACGCCATTCATGTATGTGAACGCACGTGTGCTGAGTCAAGCGCACTTGCACCCACACACACACACACACACACACACACACACACACACACACACACACACACACACACACATGCAACCCCCCCCTACACACACAAATCTTACAAAAGCAAACCAAACAATCTACACGCGATCAAACACGCGTTCACAGGCGTTGCAAGAGGGGCACACACGCTCCAATACAACTGCCAAATGCACCCCGCACGCGCGTGCGCGCACACACACCGCAGACCAGCCGACCTGGTCATATAGAAAGTCCCGGATCGGCAGCGGGAACGGCTCCGCGAGCGCCGCCAGCAGCGGAAACGGCACCCCCAGCCGAGCGCCGATGCGGCGCACCGCCTCGGACTTTAGGTAGCAGCCGCTTTTTTCCACGAGCACGATCGAGGATATGTCATCCGGGGAGCGGCCGCAGCGCGCGAGGAGGGCGCGGCCGGCGGGGCTCTGGAGGGCAGCCATGCGGAAGGCGGCTGCGCGCGGGTGGCGACGGGGGCGGACGGTGAGTTGTGAAAGCATGTCGACGTGGTGGTGGGTGTGCCGGGCAATACGAGGGATTTGGGGTTGAGGGCTTAGGGTGTAGGATTTTATCGGTTTTGAGAAACCTTGCCGCTGTTTCACCGGAACGGGCTGGTGTAGTGAGCATGCTGCTGGTTGAACAATGGCGTGGGGTGCGGCGTGTGCTGCTACTCCTGCGGGGTGCTGTGTGCAGCGTGCGTCACCCGAGTGACCACCCACCATCCTTGTCGAAGTCCAATACGATGTTGACGCCGTTGTTGCAGAGGTTGCACACCTGAGCAGGGCAACACGACGCCAGGGGCAGGGGTGGCGGGCCGATTTGCAAGCAGATTGGACAAGCGTGTCACCCCGTGGCCATCTTTGATGAAAGCGCGCGCCCGCGTCCCTGTTGCCCTATTGGCTTGCCAGAAAACACGTGCAATGTGGTCAAGATCGCAAAGACCATGCACGTCACCCGCACAACCAGACATGTCTGCACAAGTCTTCAGAATCACCGTCGCCCGCTGCATTGCTTCCCCGTCGCTTTTTCCCCACCATGAAAACGCACCCCGTCAAACAAGATGATAGGCCGCTGGTCTACTGCAAAATAGTCCTTCTGCTGCTGCTGTTGCTGCTGCTGTTGCTGCTGCTGACTGGCCGGTGGGAGTGCTGCGCAGCGACCTCGGCGCACGCTTTGCTCGCCACCAGACGCCCGCTTTGCCGCACCGACCAAGGAGCTGTGGGAGCAGCGCCTGGAAACATGCAATGAGCCTGTTGACTGCATGGTGTGCGTGCAGAAGACCGTTGTGCGCGGTCCCAATCTTTGTGTGATGTCGGTCGACGCAGCCTGCAAAGACGATCTTTTATATGGCCTCGGATTTCTTCCAAATTATTTCTCTGTCAAGTTCGCAATCAAACTGTGCAGCCATGCATCGAGGAGTTGGGCTCACACTCCCCTTTGTCGCACGAACACACCCGGATCACTGCAGTTGCCCTTCCTGCCGTGCGCAATCATGCAAGCCGCCGTCTTGCCTAATAGGAAAAGGGATTGCCAAGACGATATGACAGCTGATGAAGCTTGGCGATCGCTTGATGATGGCACTGCTGCCGCGAGCGCCACCCCGGGCGCAACTGCGGACGGCGATGGCCACTGGGCGGGCTCGGGTATGCTTGGCGACACGAGCGATGCAGATAGCTCCAAGCAGGAGGACAGCTGGTGCGCGTGGACGCGGCGAGGGTGGCGGCGCTCCGTCGATGCCCGGGGGTACTCCTCTACACCACCTGCCTGACCTGGGGAGTGCATCTCTTTGCGGCCAACGCGCAAAGCCTGCGCATGCGGCAGCCCTCAATCGGTCCCCAGCAACCTCCCACGTCACCTGAGTCGCATGCTTGACTTCGTCGCGCACTTGCACACACGGCAGGCCGTACCGCCCCTCTGGCCGACGCATGTAATCGCCCACGTAAAATCCGGCCACTCTGAACTCCCCCACCACCCCGTTCACCGCGAGATGACTCGCACGTCTGGCCAATCCATTGCACAACGACTTGCAGGCGCGATCTGTACAGGGTCGTAGTCGGCTCCCTGCGCGCGTCCTCCGCCCACTTCAGCGCACTCACGTTGGAGTCTCTGGCCCTGGGCTGGTCCGGCCTGTGCCAAGCACACAGCGATGCCTGGGACGACGTGCCTGGGGAGCCCTGGGGCCCAGACAAACGGGAGGCGATCCGCGAGCTGCTGCGCGCGGCGAGGTGCGCTCTGTGCCGCGGCCACAGGAATTGTGAGGCTGCGCGCGGGAGGGACACGCCTGCCCGTGTACCCTGCCACAAGCAGGGGGGACGGCTCTGTCGGTGCAGGAGTGTGGCCAGATGTTGCTCAAATTCTTTGGTCCTGTCGTGCGAGCGCGTCCATCCTGGGCGCCCGTTGCTGAGCTGGGAGCAGCAGACCCAGCCCCCTACTGCGGCGGCTGCAACACCGCCGCAGGTGGGTGTGTGCGTTCATGCCGGACTTCAAGACTGGGGCAGACGTGGCAAAATATCTGGAAGTGCCGGTGGGTGGTGCGCTAAGGGAGCAAACGGTCTGGTCTGTGACGACAGAGACGCAGCGGCGCCAGCAAGCAACACGTCTTTCGCAGCATCGCGCACGCTGCATGTCGTGAGCCGCGAGCTGCGTACACGCTGCGTGCCGCTTGTTGCGTGTCGCATCCAGCATCTGCATGTGGCACTCGGAATGATCCTCATTGTTTGCTTGAGAGGGGGGGACCTTGGGCTTTGGCTGCTGCCTGTGTTGTGCAACATGCTGGGCGCGTGTGGGGGCGCGGGGCGCTCGGGGTGTCGCGAGGGGTTCGGGACGGGGTGGGGCTCTCGCAACACACTGTTTTCACTAGTTCTTTTTACAGTCAATCTGCCTCGAAGTTCCTTCTCCAAACATCATATGGTCTGGATTTTCGCGCGCAACTCAACACATGATCATGTGCACACGCACTCCCGCCAACACATGCACACACACACACACGCACACACACACACACACACACACACACACACACACACACACACAAGCACATGCACGTGCGCACTCCCGCCAACACATGCACCAACATGCACTCGCACACACACACACACACACACACACAGATGTGCACAAACATTCACACATACGCACACACACACACCAGGAGGAGGACGTCGTCGCCTTTGAGCCAACGGGCAAGCCGCTGTGCCCCGCACACTTTGTGGCGGTGGACGCCGCCGGCCGCCGCGTGTGCGTCGTCGTCAGGGGGACCACCACGTGGGCCGACAGTGAGTGGCGCCGGCCCTGGTGCAGGACCAGGCAGCACCGCCCTCTTCACTGAACCCGGGTGACTACACCCAAGACCGCGCCGCTGCCATGCCGTGGCTGATAAATCATGATTGGGATGTTGGGCGAAGCTGGGAGCAATGCCAGCTGCGGCAGTCAAAGTTGGGGCAGCGACCAAGAGGTGTCAGCAGCGGCTGCGCGTGGCGCGGACAAAAAGCGCCTTTTGCGTCACGCCACCACCTGGCCGTGCTTGCCTGCCGCACCCCCATGCTTGCAGCCCGTCACTTCCTGCACCCTGACTCGTGCGCCCGCGCCCCGCAACGCCCGCCCCAGCCATGACTGACCTGGTCGCGCACACCGAACCCTACATGGGAGGTGAGGGCCGCGCCTGCGGATGCGACGCCTGCGATGACCTCGGCTTAGAATGCGCGCCCATATCTCGGTCCTGTGCGCGAGCACCCCGTCTGCATGCCCGGCGCTCCCCGTGCAGCCACAGCCCCCCCCCCCGGGCTGGCGCCTGAAAACAGACTGGAGTCAGACAGCTCTTGCTTCCCGCAGCCCCGGCCCGCTCTTTGCTGCCTCCTGAACGCGTCCAATCGGTGACCAAACATCCCCTCGCCTGGCCTCCTCACGGCCGCCCGCCTGCAGGCCACTGCCACAGCGGCATGCTGGCCGGGGCACGCGCCATCCTGCAGCAGCGAATCGGCGCGCTTGAGGTGCTGCTCAGGCGCAACCCCGGGTGTGCGCCTGCTGGCTGCTTTCGCGCGGGGGCAGGGATGGGTGGGCCGGGCTGCGCTGCTTGTCTGCCGCTGTGCACCGCTGCGTGTGGGCGGACGGGGTCCCTGGCTTGCTGGAGGCGCTGGCTGTGTGCTGATGCCCATACGGCTGACATATGTGGCTCCTTGGCTCGATCCTGTCAATCTAGCTGTCGCCCCACGGCACCTGCCATCGCCCTCGCCCTCGCCCTCAGCCCGCTACCTCCCACACCCCCGCCCCGCAGCTTCGAGGTTCACTGCATGGGCCACAGCCTCGGCGGCGGCGTCTCCGCCCTCGCCGCCCACGTGCTCACTTGCGACCCCTCGTATTCCGCGCGCCTCGCGGCCGCCGGCTGCGGGGGCGTGCGGGCGACCGGGTTCGGCTCGCCGCCTGTCTTCACGCGGGAGCTTGCTGAGGGGTGCGCGCCGTACGTGACGACGGTGGTGCACAATGTGAGCGCAGAGGGCGGCCCGCGTTCGTCGGTTTCTTTGCAACAGCAGGGCTGCCCCGCTGAATTGGATGCCGGCTTCCGATGCATCGTTCCCTGCGCAGGCCGGGGCAGCGGGTGGCTTCATCCAGCATCACCAGCGCGGCCTGCATTATGGGTGGCTTTTCTTGCTTGCGCTCAAGCACGCGCGAGGACGGGGTTGCGGTCCCTTGAGTGCTCCTCCGCTCGCAGCGACCACCAACCCTCCTCACCACATGTCCGCCTTGGCCGCGTAACCGTTCCTCTGAGGCCCATATCACCTCTGAGCCCCCCTTGTCAAAAGGTTGGACATTGAATTCAAACCCCTCACCCCTCAAAAATTCCAAGCGAGGAAACAGAGGGAGAATGTTTCACGCAGATTCACCCTTGATTCACCACCCCTCTCCCACCGCGCCACCTCAGCACGACCTGGTGCCGCGCACCTGCGTAGCCAATCTGGCGCAGCTGCAGCGGGAGCTGGAGGGGCACAGAGATGATTTCTTCGGCCGCAACAAGGTGTGGGGCCTGGCTGGGGCTCTTGTTTGGGCTCGTGCAGGGCCAGGGCCTTGCCAGTACCACCTGCGTGTCACATGGGTCAGTCGCACCCAAAGTCACATTTGACGGTGCAGGCGGCGCTTCCAGGTACTAAGCATGGCACCTTTCTCGTTTCTCATTTCACTTATGAACATACCATCACCGTGCCCCTTTACATCCTCTTTTTCACTCCCCACTCAAAAAGGTGGCGGGCTTCCTGCGCGACAGCGGCGCGATCTCAGTCGGAAAGCAGGCAGCGCGCGCGCTGTTCGACGCCGCAATGGCAGGCGGCGCCGCGCGCGCCGCCGCGCGCAGCCCGGCGGCGCAGGCGCTCGTGCAGGTGGGGTGGGCGGGGCGCGGCCGCCTGCACCACCGCCGGCGGCAACGCCAGCGGGGGTGCTCTGTTCAAGAAAATCCCAAGGCTGCAGACCCTGAGGAGAGCCAGCAATTAGGCCAGCGCCTTGTGCACACGCGCGCGCACACATACAACGACGCCTTGGTCAACCGAGTCTTGACCAGGCGCTTGGGCAGCGTGAAGCATTGCGCTTGTCTCTGGGAGCATCGACTACGTGGTTGGGCTTCGTTTTCGCAGGGGTGCTTCTCTGTTTGCAGCCTTGCAGCCTGCCACACACGCTCAGCACCCCTCCCCTCCGCCCCGCCGCAAAATCGCCGCCAGGCGGCCGCGAGCAAGTTCAAGCAGCTGCACGGGGAGGCCATGGCCCGCGATGCGTCGGGCGGTGCCGGCGGCGCCGGCGGGGCGGGAGCGGGGCCAGGGGCAGCGGCGGCCACGCCCGCAGGGCTGCAGCCTGGGGCCGGGGAGGAGGCGCGGGAGCAGCGGCGGCTGCTGCAGGAGCGGGATGCCGCGGCGAAGGCGAGGGCGCTGAGCTGCCAGGGCGGCAGGTGCGGCACCGCCGCCTGCGGAAGGCGGAGATGCGCCGGGCGGGCTTGGCACTCGCTATGTGCAGCGTGGCTTCGCAACCGTTTGTGCAGCGACATGTGTCATGTCACCTCAGTGCCGCTGCCGCTGCCCAGCCTCGCTCACACGCCCTGCCACCCATGCACCCATCCATCTACCAAGCCGCGCGCTCACCCGTGTGCCCATCCGCACTCATATTCTCCGGCACACTTAAACCCCACCAAGATTTGAAATGGAGGAGGCAGAGGCACACCACAGGCTGTTTGCACCCGGCACATTGCTCTACCTGAAGCGCTGGCAGGAGACCCCAGGTGGGTGGACGGCTGCAACGGCAGGGCCCTGCGGCCAGGGAGGCTTGAAACCTTCGCGGCTGGGGCCGCAGACAGTTTGAAAGCCGGGCGGCGCTGGCCGCCTGCTGCCGCCCGCAAGACGGTGATGTCATTCGCGGAGGGCGGGCCTGCCTTGAAATCAGCCGCCCGCACCGCGTACGGCCAGCCTGAGCGCTGCGGCCCCCGCGCCTTTGGCCCCCCCGCTGTGGGCGACATGGGCCCCGCCGCCGTCTCCCCCCATCACCGGGCACGGTTGCCGCGCCTCCGGACCGCAGGCGGCGCGGCGCGCCATTTGCTGGTGCAGGCGCCCCCAGCTGGGCCCCGCGTGGGGCGCATCCTGATCAACAGATCCATGCTGAGGTGCGCGGCGCATCCTCCACTGCTCGGGACTGGCAACAGCATTCGAAAGCCCGGCACGTCGCGCGCAGCATGGCGCAGCGGAGCGCCGCGACGCGGAGCGCGGCGGGCTGCAACGCCTTGGGGCCCCCTCGCAGCTCGCTGCTCGCCCATCACCTCCCCCTACAAGTCAAGCAGAGCCATGCACGCGCCAAGCCTGCTGTCCCTCTGGCTGCAGCTCCCTAGAGTCGCCGCCCTCCCCATTTTATGAGCCAACATCCACCCACTCTCCTTCCAACACACACACCTACAGGGACCATTACATGGGCCCCACCACCCAGAGCTTGTCGCACTACTTGGAAAGCCTCAATCCTCTGATAGAACTGGACGACGCTGCGCCAGCAGCCGCCGCCGCCGCCGCCGACCCCGGCACAGCCGCTGGCATAGCTGGCCTAGCTGCGGCCGAGGGCTTCGCGGATGCCGGCGCGGCCGCCGCCGCGACGGCGGACGACACTGCGGCGGCGGCGCTGGGAGGGCTCATGCTGGAGACGGCAGCGGTGTCTGGCGAGGGGCGGGGACAGCAGCCGCTGGCTGGGGGAGCGACAGCGCCGGCGAAGCAGTCTGATCTGGACACAAGGGAGCCAGACTGGGCGTCAGCACCCGCTGTGCCGGCAGCGGCGCCGCCGCACCAGCAGCTCGGCGCGGCGCACGCCACGACGCCTGCGACCCCCGCCACGCAGGTGGTGCCGCGGTCGGCGCCGGCGGCGGCGGCGGCGGCCGCCTCAGCTCCTGCTGTCGCCCACAGCGGCGGCGACGCGGCAGCGCCCAGTAGGTTTGCGTACTTTGGGTCCAGGATGGCTGCCGCCGCCTCTGCCGGCCTTGCGGCCGCCAAGGCGGCGGCTGCACCTGCATCTGCGGCATCGCCAGCGGCCCCCAATGCATCCTCTACACGAACGGTTTTTGGTGGGTCGATTGTTCCAAACCTCTCCCAGGCGACGCCAGAATTGGCCCCTGCACCTAGTCAGCAACAGCTTGCACCAGGGGCTGCTGCGGCGGGCGACGCGGGAGCCGTGCCTGCCGTGCCTGCAGTGCCTGCGTTGGATGCAGCACAGGGGCCGTCCACAGCAGCTTCTGGTGCCCCAGTCCTGGCACCGGCGGCAGCAGGCCCGGCCGGCACCAGCAGTGGCCCTGAGGGCGGAGTCAGCTCCTTTGCGCGCCTGGGGTCCAGGATGGCTGCGGCAGCCGCGGCGGCAGCTGCTGCGGCCGCGGCTGGCCCAGCCAAGGGGTCTGCACCCCAAGCGGCTGGCGCGGCAGGGGTTGCGACGTCGGGCGCGGCTGCCGGGTGGAGCTCGTTCGGCCGCCTGGCTTCTAGAGTGGCAGTGGCTGCGGCTGCAGCGGCGTCGTCAGCCGCGGCCGTGCCCCAGGCCGGCGGTCCGCCGGGCCAAACTGGCAGCCAGGGACGCCGCAACGATGCCCACATCTGAGTGAGTGTGGCGCCGCTTTGGAATTTTCGCTTTTGAGGCTCAGCAGGTCCCTCTGCGGCAGCAGTGCCTGACCACGTCGCTGATTACGCACGCACCAAAAAGCAAAGCGCATGGCAGAAGCATGATGTGGGCGCTATATCCTCGCAACATCGCCTCTGCTTGCCGCCGATCGGCCTCCGCTGGTAGTAGTGTTTTCGACTCCCATTGGTCCCTCATGCCTTGCTGTGTGCTTGCTGGCCGGAATGCCACCGTCATCAGGGATTGCTTGTTGTAGATATGACTGCTGCATCAGACCCAGTCGCAGGCTGTGGAGTGCCAACGTGTCGTGAGTAACACTGTGGCCCCAACACAAGCTTGCTTGTTCCTCAGCAGCAACCGTCAAGAGCAGAAGCAATTACATCCAGCGCAGGAAATGCGCAATTAGCAAGTGTGCACCCTATAAATAAATAGATACATGCCTCCTGGACAATGATTACTCAGGGCTGGCACATAATCAAACCAAACCTGCTGAATCACGGGTTGAGGCATAAAAGAAAGGCGGCGCCAAGTACCTTCTCCCAGCCACCGCTAGTCTGTTCGGGGTGGGAACAGGACGCGCCACAGGAACAGGTGACAATGCGCAGGTGCAAGCGGCGCCGGCGCCTCCCGCTGCCGCCCTGCCTGCTTCACGCCACTGATGGGCTGGCGGCCGCGGTGGGGGGCTGCGCGGGGCCCGAGCCCTTGAGTGGCTGCGTTGACAGCTGGCCCGCGGTCTTGAGGAGGAAGGCATACTCCAGGGCCACCTCCTTGAGACGCTCAAACCTTGGAGGATCGTGTGTGTTGGGGGGGGATGCGCGCGCGCATGTGCGCGCGTGTGTGTGAGTGTATGTGCACACGCGCACGTGTGTGGTGAGCGTATGTGCACACAGACACGTGTGTGTGTGTGTGTGTGTGTTTGCTCGCGCACGCACGCGCGTGTGTGTGTGTGTGTGTGTGTGCGCGTGCGTGTGTGTGTGTGTGGAATAGATGAACACCATGGTCTTCCAGAGTACAACAGGCGCATCAGAGGCGGCCTTGACGGCTTGGTGCAGCAAGGCTCCCAGCCACTTCCACCAAGCCAGCAAAGCGCCCCGCGTCTGCCCAGCGCAACGACTTTCCTCGCCCCACCCGCAAGCTCGTCTCCACAGTGCCCCCCCCAAAACCCCCCAGCAATGTTGCCAGCAGCAGCCCCCGCCGGCCCCACCTGCCGGTGACGCTGAAGTGGCCGGCCCCCAGCTCTGTCTTGAGCAGCAGAAGGTTGTTGTCGGTTTTAGTCGACCGCAGCTTGGCCACCCACTTGGCAGGCTTTGGGGGGAGGAGGCAACGTGAGGATGCAGCGACTTGTTGGGAGTTTTGGTAAGCTTTGATACTCAAATCCCGAACCCAGGTGGGTGCTGTGCGGCACTGATGTGGCAGGGGGTTGCGGCTCCCACCGGCGGGATCTGGGCAAAACGAGCAAATACATGACAGGCCGGCTTGGCTTGGATTTGTGAGGATTCGTCAGGTATGCACGCGGTCAGTGGGCAAGCAGCCTGCGATGGGATGCAATGGGATGCAAAGGCCGGGCACAGGAATCCTCCAATCCAGCAGATGCGGTCCCCACCTCCCAGTAACCGACGCGCGGGTCGTGGAGGCCGGCCGTGACGAGAATGTTGGGGTACCTGCTTGCACGAGGTGCGGCGGCAGTGCACAGGCGCAGCCCTCGGTTGGCGAAGTCACGGCGGTGCTTGCAGCGCGGCCTCGGCATGCCTCACGCCCCTGCATACACCCTCGCACGACCCCAGTCGGCCCGCAGCGTGAGTTCGTCCAAAAAAATTTCGCTTGTTGCGCTCCTAGCTATCAAATTAATGTGCATAATGAGGCAGTGCTGCTTACCGCTGCTGCGTCACATTGTCCACCGGGCTGTAGCTCTTCATGTAATCGTAGTACTCGCGCTCCTTGGGGTTCCCCCACTCCTCCCACTCGACTGGGGGGCGGTCCGGGCGGCCGGGGATGGATTGCGGGTGAGGCAGCATGCGTTAGCCGTGAAGAGGCGTCGGCCCCTGGTTTTGGGACCTCGGGCAACCGCCTTTCCCAGTGCGGCGCCTCAACACCCCCTTCCCTCCCCCCAAAAAGCAACGCCTCCTGCAAGCCCCATGCTGCTGAGGCCTTCCTATGCTGGCCCAGCGGCGGGCCCACAAGAGCCGCGCGCGTCGTTGCGTGGAGAGCCGCATCGGTCGGTTGGGGGCCTGCCCTGCCCCTGCTCACTTGTGGTGAGGGGGATGGTCTCGTCCAGCATGGTCGTCAGGCAGTCCACAAACGGCACGCCTGGTCGGAAGTTTGAGAGGCAGCAAGGGGTGACATGACCGTCGACTTGCAGGGGAGCGCTGGCAGGGATGTTTGCAGCTGCAGGAGCGGCGCGACGGCCAGCGGCGGCCGCTTTCATCCGGCGCTCCTGAGCGCGCGCTTCTCACGCGGGCGGCCGCCGCCGGCCGCGGGAG